CAATTTATTTATCGTGTTTTAATATTACATGAAATAAAATAAAACTGGTTTTTTTGTACTTCCTTATGTGTAACTTCGAAAATATTCTGTGATATAAACAAATTTAAAAAATCACACTGACATTTGAAATTTTAGTATTTTATTACAAGTTATTAGATCAATGTAGTACATCAAACCGCTCTTGTTGATGCAAACTCTCTTCAGTAGGAACATCGAGCAAGGTCGTATAAAATGTATGCAGCTTAGACATAACGATAAAACCATTTTAGTGTATGACTATGTAATCTATCGCAAAGTGACAGTAAGCCTGCTCGCGGCAACCATTTTGTTGTTAAATTTTCTCTTAAAATTCTCAGCGGCGACGGTCGTCTTGAACGTTATCTTCGCACTGCGGTCTTCTTTATCCAATATCAAGCTCTGGAACATCAATCCGGGTTGTTTTCACTAATCCCATCTCAACATACTTAAAGCTCTCCTTATATCTATTTACATTTCGGTTCGTCGAAGTAAAAAAAAATGCTAAGTGACCATAACTTACTCGGCGTTGATTTTGGAAAGAATAAGAAATTGTAATTATCTAGACTAGTAAAAAAATAACTCGCAATGTGATTTTGTGATGTCATATCCTCTTCTTATATTTATAATTAAGTAATAAAAATAAAAATCAATAAGACAAATTCACATTTTGTAATTACGATTCAGGATTGAAACAAACCTTGTTTTATGATAATTTGTTACAAAAAAATATATTATTTTACTGTGCACTAATTATCCAGTATGTTCTCTTTTAGGTTAACTCTGATTATATTGATCATGTCAATTTACACAATTACTAATTAACTGACTTGGTTTAAAAATAAAAAATTGTAGGTGCTAAAGCACCTTCCAAGCGTGGCAACTATGGCAAATGTTGCCATGGTTGCCATATATGTAGTTTTGTATTTATATCAATATTTAAAAATAATACTGATCATTGATTGTATACAAAACAATGGATATTATTGTATACATACAAAAATAGATATAAAAATGAAATAGTAAAAACATTATCATGTCCACTCAACCAGCCATGTTTAGACATAACCTAGTCAGCGTGTCAATCATCATAATATTATGATTGTCTTTATAATGATTGGTTTTTATCACTACACTATACTATGCAAAGTCATATTTCTTAAGCTCACTTAGGAGGCAATCTATAGGAGAATGATGATGATAAATTGTTTAACTTGTTGTCCCTTACTAGTAATTGTGCATAAACTTTTTCTGTGGAAGGGGTAATAACTTTAGATGAGGGGGGGGGGGGTAATGGTCGTATAACATTTTTCTGACTCCATTATTTAAGCAATTTCAATATGATACAAATTTAATTTAAACTACAACTAGATCTAATTAGTCTCGATGTTTATTTACCTCAAAAATTTGAAATTACGCTTCGCTACAAAACTATTTTATCACTTTAAAATTGCCTTTTAGCATATTATTCTTAGCTTGCTGGTGTTGTTTTTGGTTTATTATACATTTGTTCTTACAACTTTTACTTCGACACGAAGCAATTTTGTCGATATACAATATCATTTAAATCAGATAGAATTATTATTACATAGGAGTGAATTATAATATAATAAATATTTTTGTCCATAGGACTTTTTATGATGTTATAATTGTGTTTTTTGTGGTCTTGGTACATATTATGTGACAAATGTATACAATATCATCATTACTATTCATGTTAACTTAGTTATGATGATAAGATGTAACAAATATAAATACATAACTGGACTTAAAGTCGCTCGTGTATAAAAACAAAAAAGTATGTACATTATCTTTACAATAGAATTCTTTTGTCACAATATTAAAGTCAAAATATCATAAATTAAAAATGAAAATATCACAGTTCCATCCATGTATAGATCTCTTACAAATTACACAAATAAATTAACAATACGTTTAGTCTACCGCCATTATGACGTCTTAGCTGTAACTAGTTCACTCGAGTATGATTTAAGTATGGTGTGCAAAAAGGTAAATACGAAAATATATTAATTAAAATAGGATTATTAATTTATTATTTGTCCTATTAATATAAAGCAGTATTCTTAAATAACGATGTAGCATTTTATACTTTACTCTGTATATAGTTTTTCTTTCAAAGCAACTTTTACTTGGTAAAAGAAATTAAATAGAATATTTATTATTTTATTAAAGTTATATGCAGTTAACGTAAGTAAAAACCAATATAAAATTTTTGTAACAGTGACACAATTTTGCCACTGTAATATGTTTGCCGATCTTCCTTATTTGAGTGATATTAATCAAAAGACGGCACTATTCTATTATTTTAATGAAATTAAATTATAAAGATTATTACAATTCAAAAAGTTCTTTTTATTTTGTTTATTGTGGTATTATCAAAACTAGTTCTTCAATAAACAAACAAGTAAACTTGAGGATATCTAAAGTGTTTGATAACTTAAAAACTATAGTATAAGAGTATACATAAACATACATAAAATATCACATACAATATCACAGAGTATAACAATTTAATATTAATTTTATGGTTTGATGCACCAAAAGAAAATTTTATTAAATGTAAACATTTCAAATATTATTATGAATAAGTAATTAAAATCAAGTTAGTTAAAAGAAACAACGAGTAAGACTTTATCATAAGTTTAGATTTTTTTATAAATAAGGCATAAGTATTATCGTCATAGTGCCACATTTAAGCAAGTAAACCAGTAGTACAGCCTGTTCATAAGTCTCACATCTTGTTTGGTCTACAAAACTGTGGGCGCCAGCCCGCTGGGCAAGCGTAGCAGCTATGGAAAAAATCCCCCCCCCCCCTATGAGGCAATATAAAGGGGAGGCTTATATTCAGCAGTGGACTTTAGTCGGCTGTAACACCAACGGTATACTAACACTACTGTTGTGCACTGTACCAAAAATAAATAATAAACAGGGTTATTTTGCAATATGTGCCCAAATTTGCAGAGAACGGGAAGGTGAAGGATGAAGAATAAGTGATTTAGGCAATTGGTGAATAAAATTCACATTTGCCTAATATACCATTAACCATAAACGTATTATCTTTTAAATTCAGAATGCGCGGCAATGCATTATTTTAATTGACTGCCATTCATAAATATTTAATGCCTAATACTTTACTACGCACGCACATTTTCGTAATGGTCGCTTGGTTACAAAATTAATTATTAATTAGTCCCTATAAGTCCTATAAAGTACGCAATTAGAGTACATATTAGGTATATACTCAATACATGTCTTGGTACTGGTTTTTGTTCATGTAACCAATGTGGCAAGTTAATTCTGTATTTTCTATATTAAAATGGCGAATGTGTTTATTATGTTAAATACGTTCAATTTGCGGCACATTCAAACACGTTAAACACAAACACGCAAGCACAACACAAACACGCACGCGCTCAAAACACATACACGCCATTCGTATAACATATAAACGCACATTCATATACCAAATGAAGGGTCCACTGCAATAATGATGAATGTCCAAAGTTTTTGTAATTATAAGTAAGTAGCTTATTAGGACACTTGATATATGCAGTTAATAATCTCGTTTACAGACTCGGCAATATCGCTTACAGTCGCTAGATAAATACGTTTTAAATAATTGTATACACGGCTAGAACGCTCAGCGTCACACGTGTTCACGGCAATAATGATAAATGACCATGGCCTAGGGATGTTAAAAATAATCGATTTTTATTTAAATCGATTATTATTTTCTTATAATCAATTTTTTATTATTGATTTTTATAGTAAAATTAATCGATTTTTAGTAAATCGATTATATAAATTACGTGTTTAAATCGATTTTCAGAAACAGCTCGTATCTATACGATGTATGATCTATGAAAACCCTGCAGTAAGTTCAATTTTATAAACAGCGCATCTATGCGTTTGATGCAAAATCTCGATTCGAACGATCGATTAAGTTCATACATATAAGTTGTAGGCGTGTAAAGTAGTTTCAGTGTAATGCTGAGTGAGATGAAGTTGTTGCCGTTGTTGGTAAACAATAAAAATGTTTTCTAACCGTAAAACACCTAAAAGCGGCTAGCGAAAGCATTTTATCACGAAGAAGGGATAATACCACAACAATACCCAAGTACTGTTCGAAAAAATTAAAAACCCTGTAGCAATACAACAAATTTAAAACAGCACATAAAACGAAAACATCGCGCTGTCTTACAGGTAACAAATTAATGCAAAATAGGACTGGACATTTGTGGCAATAATCACTATTTTTTTGTTTAAACTTGAAGAGTAACGAAATATTTGTATTTTAGTTTAGTTTTTGATACTATAGCGTAGTCGTTTAGTTTTTTTTTTAATTCTCATTTTAAATATTTTATTTTAAAACTAGTCAAATGTAAAATAGGACTCGACATTTATGGCAAACTTTTTTATTTGATTTATATTTTGGTTTTTGAGACAATAAGTTTGTAATTTTGTTGGGATGCTCATCATTTCATATTTATTATAATAAATAAAACGTTTAATAGTACTAAAATTTGTATGGATAATGCTATTTGGTTTCATAATTCCTTACCTTGAAATTTTAAAGGAACATTGCCTTTGATTTTTGGTTTTGAACTTTTGAATAGGTTTTTTTTTCATATAATTTTATTCGATTTTTAATCTGATATATTGTTAATATGAATCTCTTAAGTTTATCATTGGAATATTAAAAACATGTACTTTTAAATAATACAAAAATCGATTTTTTCCGAAAAATCGATTATTTATTTTTGTTAAAACGATTTTCGAAAAATCGATTAATTTTATATAAAGAAAAATCGATTTTAATTTAATCGATTCTTTTCCATCAATCTGACATCCCTACCATGGCCTCGCAATGCCCACCATCTTGTAAATTGTTTTGTCAGTCTCGATACGTCTGGCGTTGTGTTAGGTTATGTTTAACGTGTTCAAGTAATTTCTTTCTTAAAATTATGGCTGAAAGCAAGGAAACGACTATAAATACGAAGAAAAGAAAACGCACAGGCAGAATGAGTGATGTATTAAAGAAACTTCGACTTCAGAATCACGAACTTGGTGATGACTGCAAATGTGATCGTTTTAAATGTTTTGAAATGACAAGTAAGGACCAGAGGACAAGAATAATAAGTCAATTTAATAGTTTCGCTACCAGGTATGACCAAGATAATTATTTAAGCGGGCTTATAACCGTATCTAATGCAAAACGTCGTCGTCCGCGATTAGGTGAAGAAAATGCGAAATTACACAATAAATCATATTCATACAAGATTCGTATGATTGCCGATGATACTTACGAGATACCAGTGTGTAGAAAAGCGTTTTTATCCTTACATGGTATCACTGGAAGAAGACTGCAGTTTATTCAGAAATCACTGACGGAGCATGGTGTTGTCCAAAAAGATAAACGGGGTACACATGTGAAAACACAGCTTCCTAAAGAAACTACTGATTTAATGTACAAGCAAATCGACACTCTTAAATCAGTTAATGGTAAAAAAGGCCACTACAATTTACATGAGAGTAAAAAAATATATCTGTCAGACGAGTTAAACTTGTCTAAGATTCACAAAATGTTTAACGAAAAACGATTTTTCTGAAGGATAAGGATATTGAAGGATTTTTTAGAAGAAACGTTTGATATTCCTGATGATAGTAACTCGGAAGACGACTTAGAATCGGAAGGAGAACCAGAGTTGAATTTGGAAACTTTGCAAAATCTTTTAGATGATTCCCAAAGCCAAGAAAATCAAAATATGCCTGATACGAGTTCGAATGTCTCTATTGAGACTTTTCATAATTCACAGAGAGATGAATCTGAAGCTGAGATTTGTATACTTGAAGAGTTAGAAGAAGATTCAGATGAATCTGAACCAGACGAAGATGGAAATTGGTGGAAAAATTTTATGGGTCAGTCGACCTGAACCAGAAGAATTTGACCGTGTCAAAACAGTGCCTGTGTATTTATTGAACAGCAGAGCTCGTCCTTTGGCACACTTTGAGAAATTTTTCAATGAATACGTGTATTATTGTTGCACAGACAAATCTCTACGCTGAACAAAAGAAACTACTGCATTGGGAGCCGGTAACTAAACCGAAATTAAAGCATTTGCATTTTGATTATCATGGGGTATATTATTTTACCTCACATAGATCTATATTGGTCTAGTGATCCAGGGTTTAGAATCGATGAAGTGGCCAATGTCATGCCAATAAAACGATTCAAAAAATACTGCAAGCGCAACATCTGAACGACAATTCCCTAGAACCTAAAAAAGGAACCGCAGGCCATGATAAACTGTACAAGTTGCGTCCTCTAATTACATGCTAAATAATATATAGAATAACGCGAAGAATTCTTCGTCGCAAAGTATTGACGAAAGTATGATAAAATTCAAAGGGAGATCTTTGAAACAATACATGCCACTCAAACCAATAAAACGTGGTTACAAAGTTTGGTGCCGTAATGACAGTCAAACCGGATATTTATACGAGTTTGAGATATACACGGGCAAGACAGCAGAGGGGTTAGAAAAAGGCTTAGGCGCTGACGTGGTAAAAAGATTGACACGCAAACGAATGCAAGAAGAATTTATCAAACATGTCGCGTTTGATAATTAATTTTCAGACTGTTCTCTGCATATTTACATGAAAACGGTTTATTTTGTACCGCAACAGTCCGGCGAAACAGAGTTGAATTGCCTGCAATAATAAAAGAAAAGAAGAAGTTGAAATTACAGAAAGGCCAATTCAAATGGAGAACTAATAAGGACGTTGCTTTCTTAGTTTGGCAGGACACAAAAGAAGTGTTAGTATTGAGCACAGCATTTCACCCTAAAGTGGGAACGACTGCAGTTAGCAGAACTCAAAAAAGATGGCACCACTTCATCAGTCAAATGTCCAAGAGCAATAAAATAACATACTCTGAGAATGGGTGGTGTAGACCGATTCGATCGAATGAAAGCCTCATACTCTGTCGGTAGGAGGAGCAAACGCTGGTGGCTCCGGATTTTTTACTTTTTGTTAGATGCAGCTATCACAAATGCTTTCGTGCTTTACTCTGTTTCAATTTCTTCGAGGCCAAGAAAACAAGTAACTAATCTGGAGTTCCGAGTGGCACTGGCGCGAGGGCTCATTGGAGCGCACAGTAGAAAAAGGCGAAGATCTGCTCCAAATTACGTCACTAAGAAAACTAGAGTACTGGGCTCTGATAATTATCAAAAGGCCACCAATAAAGTGGCACCTGAAATAAGATTTCAAAATGTTGTCTACATATGCCTGTAGCCATTGATTCGTATAGACGCTGTAAATACTGCAGCACAAAGGAGCACGATAAACGAAGTAAAATTATATGCGAAAAATGCACAGTTCCATTATGTATTGTCCCTTGTTTCCTTCAATATCATGTTAATAATTAATGAAATAGTTTTTTTATTTTCCTTCCACAGTTTTACAATATAACTATAATAATTTAATATACAAGAATTTATTACAATTGGGAGAGACAGGAATCTAAGAATTTTTCCAGTGTCTAGTTTTAGGGCAGGTGGAATATATTTACCACCAATTTTCACAATTTTCCGATAACTTTTCCTAATTTTCGTGTTAAGTTATGATAAGTAGTTATATAAAAGATGCCAAATTTAATATAAATATTTATTTTACTGTCCTGAATCCTTCTGCCTTATAAAGGGTTAACTCTGGGGAATATTTAGTTCTGCGTAGTTTTCCAGTCTTACTTTTAAGTAATTGTCTTTTTTAAAAGTTCGCTTTCTTCAGTTCCTATTTTTTTTAATTAATTAGTTTCATTTAATGTGTAGTGTTCGCGTAAATATAAGAATCATTGTAAACTTATCGAAATTGTAAAATATTTTTAAGAAGAATAATATGTTATAATTGGGTCAATCAACTATTTTTTGTCCTATCAGAATTATTTAAAAAAAATGTTTATTGTTTTACTTTTAGTTTTTAACTTTATTGAAAGGTAGATAATTTATCAGATTTTTAAATTTCACATCCAGCAGCGCACTTTTTAAGACTAAAATTGGATTTTTAACAAAAAAACCTGATAACTAGCCAATAAATCGGTCACTTGGACAACCATAGGTTTTAATTTTTAACAGCTAAAATAAAGGCTTAAGTTTAAATTAAACAGTCTAGTTGTGTAGTTCTACGTTAAATATTATCCTAGAGCACTGAATTATCAGTACTGCATTGACTGTTCTCAAATTATTTTTAGTTAAAATGTCTCTTGGACAACTACCGTCTAAATAAAACATAGAAGTTTTAATAAAAGCATTAAATTATACGTATAATATAATAAAACATAACTGAAGATATTTTTCTTAACACTATTAAGAATATTTTATAATAAGTATTAAGTTTTTTTTCCGTTTCTGTCTAAAACATGAAGGTTTTGTTAATCCTGATTCTGGGGACAAGACAGTTGTCTAAGAGACATAAATAATTGTCCAAGAGACATTTTTATGGTTATATGACTGAATACTTTACATTTATAGAAAAAGAAAAGGTTAATTAAAGATATTGATGGTAATTAAAAGTATTTATTTGAGATTTACTACTCAAGTAGTTTTGCCTTGTATGTTGCATTAGTATGTATCTTGCACAGACACATTTCTCTACCATCGACAGTGGGTTTCACTACAAAATATAATAATATATTTTGTAAAAAAATATAATAATATACAATAAAAGTATGAACATGTAACTTCCGGGTTTTCCAATTTAAATGACCAGTAAATGTTGATCATCGAATCCAGCAAAAACCGTTTCTGAGCTTTTTTAGTACCTCTACCAATAGTTTCATTTTTACCTGCGGTATTTCTAGAAACATCATCTCTATTGAAAAAATCTTTAATTTTTTAATCAAATTATTATCCCAATATTATCCTTTTGGTAGTCTTTTGTACGAATCCTTATATTGCCTTCTAATCCCAACGACTCTTTTACGATCGTCTTCCTTCTGTTTCAGAGTTCTCGTAATATATTTTTGAGAAACGTCTTTTCTTTGTTATTGTGAACTCTTTAATATCGTTCTTTGATCGCATTACATAATATTGTGCATTTATTTTGTCCATCAGATGTGCAATTTGTTTTTATCGCTGGTTCTTTGTTTGTATATGTTTAGATTTTGTTTTATTTCTTTGAACTCTTTTCTTATATTTTTCGTATTTTTTCCTTAACTTTTATTTAATCGTTTATTCTCTCTATATAGTTTTTTTCTGTCTCGACGTACCTTCTTTCTGCTTCTAGTCATACTTTTTTCAGGGCTAATCAGTGGAGTGGGAGCAAATAAAGGCTGATTAATTGGTTGCTGGAGAAGTATGGACGGTGAACTTGGAGGTGTATTGTTCAACAATTCCTGTATTGCTTTTGTACGTTTTCTTTGTTCTTGCTTTCTCAGTTTCCAAATGATCCTGCAGTTGACTTCTTCTTGTGGCGTAAGATCTGATAATAGTTTTTTATTTTTAAAGTAACTCTCGATTTTTTTCTTTTCCTTTCATCATATTTTTCCGGGTTTTGTTTTAGTCTCTCTCTATAACGTTTGGATTTTTCTTTTGATGTCATTCCCATTTTGTAACGTTCTAAAATAAAAATATTTTATATTAATTTAAATGTTTAAATTTATATTTACTTGTAAAAATGAAATTAATTTATTTTATGCAAGTATTGTTACTTAATTCTTAATAAATCGGAAATCATTTGAAATGAATCCCCTGGACAACCAAAAATGTCTCTTGGACAACCATTTCAGTTGTCTAAGTGACGGTTGTCCAAGAGACACATTTTAAGTTTAGGGACTTTAATTGGAAAATTATTGAATTATTATCCTGATTCTTAAGTTTACCATTGAACTAATAATATGAACTAAGTTTTTTTTATAAAATCTGTAATGAAATATCTAGATACTTACAGTTTTGGCGCGGTGGTTCAGTGGACTCACAATTAACACACGCAACTTGTCTTGTTGTTTGCGGCCGACTGACTCGAACATACTTCCAATAAACAAAATGACGGTTGTATTGCCGCGCTTTTATTATCGATTACTTTATTGATTGCGGACTTATAACGCACTCTCTCTTTCGTATTAGAAGTTCTTAGTGGTTGTCCGATTGACATACGATTTTGAAGTAACATGGGGGACAATGTAATAATTCAGAAATTAGGCGATAGATGGCCAATGAAAATATTATTGGAAGCTTTTATGAACTATTAAATAAGGTTGAATATTTTCGAGAAACTAGTTTTAATGTGACAATGGAATTTTTTTCACTATTCTTATTTTTATAGATGAGTAGTGCCTGGGGACATATAATTGTACAAAGAAAAGTACTTTGCGTCTTTTGGACAACCACAAATATTTCAGTTAATTTTGTGTTAATTTACCAAGTCTTAATCCTTGTGTATTAAACATAATACTAATGATAAGGCAAATACTTAATTTTCCGATTCGCAACCATACTTTTTGAGAAAAAAATATTTGAATGTCTGGGACAGGGGTAGGACAAAAAATAATTGATCGACCCAATTATAGCTACACATTACCTACCCCCCACAAATTCAAGGTTGGTACAGCAGTATCGGCTAACCTTCTTTTATTAATTGATAGCTTGGGGTATGAAATACGGTTCATCAAAATGTTATAAGCAAATGGTGCTGGTCCGTTTAGGTATCCAAGATTCATGATTTCTACGTCTAATATAGTACAAATAATTTCATGGAAGTTTTGGATTATTTTATATATTTTCATTTCAATTGCTCTACCATTTCATTGCATGTTTTCTGGCTTAGTGTACCAAGGCGCCCTCGTACGCGTGGCAGCAGAGGCAAAGATGTGCGTGTGAGGGGTGGTTGAATTGCACAAGTTGTGCTGATGGCGGGTAGTGAACGTGGACGTGGTCGT